TCAGGCTGCTATAATTTTAACACATAACATTCGATGATGCTGCTTCACATTTCACAAAGTAAATCAAGGGGTATATCTTACCTAAATGTTAGGCAGCTCTGCAGATCGTGGACGATAACCCAGAAATCCGTGACCGCTTGAATGTCAACAAATCAACATATCACAACAAACGACCTCGTGAACGCTTTATCTGTTTCATCAGAGGAGCCAAATGAATGAAAATTAACCACCTAAATGGTCCTTCTCCCATACATGACACTTCAACATAGCTTAGCCAAAGTATCCAATCTATAAGACATGTCTGTTGTCGATTGGGTATGCAAAAAAAATCTCCTTGAAAGTGCTTCAGAACGGCTTTCGGCCATTACGATTTCCGTCAACAAGTGTTTCCCAGCAAGCTTGACGCATGCGCAAATATGAAGGCCCGTTCTGGTCAAAATTGCATGATTAATTTTTCCCTCTTGATGAATTAATTTGATGAGTACCTGCTATTAATATTTTGTCTGTTTGTAATTATTTTTTCCTATGCCTGTAATTATTTTCGTGTTCTTTTTAACTTTTCCATGCGTCACAATTATTTTTTCCTCACCAGGAATTAATTTTTTTATGTCCCGTCTTTATTATTACGCTTCTTTGAAATTATTTTTTGTCCATTACACAAATTATTTTACGGTTGCGGATTAGTTTTTTGTGTGCTATGATAATTTTTTTTGGATAATTAATTGATTTTGTCCTACGCAACTCATAATATAATGATAATTTAATTTTTTCCATTCGAGAATTATTTTTTTGTTAGTCATAATTATTTTTTCGTAGTTTTGGCAAATGTCCCATAAGCCTCTGCGGTAATGCACCTAAAACAAACATGGCGGCTCGTACTCGTCGGTCACGCCCAGTGGTGTTACGAGAGAGAAATGAACATGGGTTCGCGCTTTTCTTACAGAACCTAAAAAGCGTGATTAATCTGTTGACTAGTGCTGATGAGTTAGAGACAGATGTTCTGATTCAAACGAGGAGTCGATTAGTGGATGCTTCGGGCACGTTGTCATTTCTGCTGAATGACATGTCGAATGGTCTCACAAATGCTACTGGTATTCCGTCAAATGCGATTCAAGTTCCTGTGCAGCACCTGAAGAATTCTTTAAACCACATAATTGATTTGCTTTCAAGTCGGATAGAAGGCCGCAACAATGTAGACTTTTATGACTCACTGGATATATCTTCTTCTGCACCGCTGGATCTTTCACAGACAGGACAAGGTCGTAAACGCTATGAAATAACTAAAGAGCAACTCGAACACTTACGATCACTTTATTTTTCTTGGGAAGCAATTGCTGGCATTCTTCAGGTTAGTCTTTCAACCCTTCAGCGGCGACGAAGAGAACTCGGTGTGAACACCCCAGCCTATTCAGAAATATCAGATGACGAACTGGATGAAATTTACAGAAGCGTAACTGGCAGTTCAAGCACGGGACCCCTTACCCCCAACATTGGTAGGAGACGATTTATAGGAGCCCTGGGGAGTAGAGGCTGGAGCATTCAAAGATGGATAGTAAGTGATTGTTTAAGACGTATGGATCCTGTTGGAACTGCCCTGCGCTGGAGAATGACTATTCACCGTAGAAAATATTATGTACCAACCCCTAACAGCCTATGGCATATAGATTCGGGCCACAAATTAATAAGGTACAAGTTGATAACACACGTCTGTATTGATGGGAAAACAAGGTTAATTTTGTATGCTGCTTGCAGAGACAATAACAAAGCAGAAACAGTCCTTTCTTTGTTTCAAAATGCGGTGCAGAAATGGGGTTACCCTCACACGTCCGATGTGACTACGGTATGGAGAATTATCATGTTGGTGCCTACATGATACAGCACCGCGGACCAGGCAGAGGCAGCATCATTACTGGATCATCTGTCCATAACTCTCGAGTTGAGAGAACACATCGTGATGTCTATTCTGGGGTGTTAGCATTCTATTCCCGTGTTTTTCAACAACTGGAAGATGAAGGCAACCTAGATGTCCTAAATGATGTTCATATTTTCAGCTCACATCACATCTACATTCCAAGAATACAGAATTCTCTAGAGGAGCTTGTCAGTCAAATGAATAATTGGCCGGTATCAACTGAACGAAACCATTCACCACTTCAAATGTGGGAGAGGGGTATGTTAGAGAACTTGCGCTCTGGACATACTGCACTGAGTGAGGCTGAGACTGAACATTTGGGGGTAGATCCAGATGGTGTGCTTTCAGTGGAGGTTGAGGAGTATCAGATAGAGATTGATCCACCATTGGTCAGCCTTTCAGAAGAACAGAAAGGAGAACTTCCAGATCCTCTCACAAATGATGGAAACAGTGGAAAAGATATTTACTTGCAATGCATTGAGGTCATTCATGGATTTCTTTGCTCTAGTTAAGTATTCTAGGGTGAATTGAACCAATCACACAAACACTATTGTTGTATTACTATGGGCGATGTAAATCCCAAATGGGTCCATACTTGTATACTTCAGCAAGATTGCTATTGACAGTTGTTATTTGTACACTCAAATTGCATTTGTACTGTATTTTAATTATTACACTACATGCACAGTAAAAATCCCATTTCAAAAATTCCAAGGTACAAAGTGGCCTGCAAGCCATACTAAGGATGCCATTGCCCCTGTACTTTTTTTGTGTGTGTGGTTATTAGGGCCATTGTTGTTGAGAATTTCCTCAGATTAATGGACTGTCTACCTTTTACCAGTTCTACCAGTGAAAAACAGAAAACTGAAGTTTTGGTAAAATGATGTTGTCTATTAAAAGGCCTCACTTTAGAATATGTTATTAAATACTTTTAATTGTCCAAGTATGTCTCACTGTTGAGTCTCATGGGGAAATTACACTGTATCAGGAATCAATCATCAGCGATGCAATTTTATTTATTATGCTTATGCACTTAACCATCTCCTGGGGGAGACCTCAGGCAAGTACAGTGTTGTATGGAGACTTTCAGTGAGATTTGAAGAACAATAATATTATTTTACCCTGAAGGTTGGGGAAATGAAGGAGTTTTAGTATCCAAAAGTTATGCACTGCATGGACTTATATATGTCTGATTTAGGTAGTGTGATTAGGGCTAATTGTGTTTTAATCTGTTGTGTGCCTGTATAGTCGCCAGGAGGTACTCCTCGCAATTCTTGGTGGGGATGTGCCACTGGTTCTTGAAACCCTGAGCCTATTTGAGACTAAAAATTGCCACTTTTCCACATGCATGTTAAGACCCAACCTCATGTGAACAAGAATAAGCTGTGAAACTTGAATGATATGTTTTACTCGGTTCTCTGTCTTGTTAATTCAGTTTGGGTTGAAAACGTTTACATTTGTTTGTTTTACTTCCAAACCGGGTATAAACCATACTCCAGTTAAAACCATAATGTGAAATCCTATGCACATTTTAAGACCAAAACGACTTCTTAAGGGCGGCACATACCTATATTGCCTATATAGGAGAGTACCCCTCTCCCCCTCCTTGTATAGTTTTACCACACAAAGACTGAAATGGTTGCCACTATTGTTATAGACATTCTGTAAGTGCTAATCCAATCCCTAGTGGTACTTCATATTAGAAGCAAGGCCACACAGTGACAATCTAGCCATGTGGCAAGTTGAAAAATCAAAATAATATTGTTGAAAAACGCGTTCCCAATTATCTTTTTGTTATTATATTGTATTGTTCACAACAAATGAGAATAATTTCACAGTTAAAAACGTAATTTACATGATCAAACTTTACTTGTTAGTCAAGTCAAGAAAGCTCTATTATGGTACCGTTTTGTACTCTGGAGTGTTTTCATGTTGCTGAACATGATCCCCCTCTGGGAGGGGGGATTTGATTGCCTGGACAACCCCATAAACAGCATCCTACACTAACTCCCTTCGCTTCCCTGGGTTTCCCTAAGGGATGGGTAGTGATAGTGCAGTACCTTGAACTCAGACTACTGTCAATCCTACATAAAATCAGTGAAACCAAAAGGTTATTGTTTTTGGTGGGAGGGTGATTGAGTTCCACATTAAATCACTTTAACTATTTAAAAAAGAGGATGAAACAAGTGTCCTTTGCTTGGTACATAATGTAGTGGGAAGGTTTTCCCCCTCAAATGTTCTCAATTGTTACAATGAACATTCTTTTTTTCATCTCTTGAGTCCTTGCTTTAAGGGTTCAAGGTGACTGTTATGTAGTGTTTATTTAAGGTAAATTATATGACAACACACAGACAAATCAACATGTTTATTAACCTATATGACTAACAGTAACAAAACATTCCTTGAAGAAAGGAGTGTCTTTAAGGACACTAATCAATGATGCTGGTCACTGAAACTGTCATACTTAATATTAAGCAAGCTCCTATGAAAAAGTACTTTCCTTTCAAAATAAGAGGAGTTGCAAAAAGTATGTATCTCCACCCTTGGCAAATAACTGACCCACAAAATAATAACAAAAATGACATTGTCAGTGAAAAACTTTAAATTCAATTTCTTAAAAAATTTTAAGAATAATATATCTTTACTTGCATTAATGAAGACAACTCACCTTACTAAATTTGGTGACTTTTTGATAACATAAATCAATAAAGCAATCTAGGCTTGTAACTCTAAACCATTTTACTTTTTGCCAAAGTAACACTGCGAGAATGCCCAGTCATACAGGGCAAAGAGTCTCTGGGTAGAGGGCAAAGGCAATGCATCAGTCGGCCTTGGAACCTGAAGTAAATTGGTGCAGGTATGAGCTAGAGGCAGGAAGCCACCCTCCACATTTGGGTGTTGCCCTTCACTAAGTCCTTGCTGACTTGTAACTTTCAATTCTGTGGGTAATATGAACTCCAACGACGGAGCAAGTGTAAAACCAAGGACGGGTTCCTCTGGTCAACCAGTGGCAAATTGAAGAATATGACTCAAATTAAGGGTAGTCTTTCCACATACCCTCCTGGAAGCTGCTACTTCACGAACATATCTAACAAAGAGTTGATAAACTTCTTTTTTCCTTTTTGAGTGCATTAGACCCCTCCTCTGAAAACTGTGGCTTCAAAATGTGAAGCAGCATTTGCACTCCAAGCTTCTGCTGTCCTTGAGGTCTCAGGAGATGAATCAACATTGGCAGCTCCTGAAGGGCTGATAACATTCCCAGCACTTCGAGACCTTGTTGAAGTTTGGCAACACAAGGATTCAAACAAACGCTTTCAGAAACAATTTGCTGCAGAATATCCTCCTCTACAAACAAAGGCAGCTGGCCATTTTGAAGCATGGCTATTGCCATCATTATTCCAACATCAAAATAATCTTCTGCCAACAATGGCCTTAAACCATGGTCAAAGTATTTTTGTTTTATGGCTTGGTTCATTAATCTTATCCATTCTTTTCGTGGCCCATCATAATCTACACATTCCTCTCCCATAAAGTCCACCTGGAATGTTAGTCTGTAGTTGGATATATATTGAAGTTCAGCAAATGTGGTGTCTAGTATATTGTCTCTGTCGACTGTTATGTAATTTGTTTCTCCTTCAATGGTGTCTTCTGAGCTTGTGACTTCTAAGGGTCTTCCAGTTACTATCTCCTTCAATTCTGTAGATATTTGAGCACTTTTACGGGGTCACTCAACTCTCCCTCTTTAGCACCCCTGATAATTGACTTAATGTTCAAAGAACTTGATTGTGACTGACTCTCATTGGCATTGAGTGTTGAACTTTCGTCTGGATTAGAGGATTCAGTGCCATTTGCTGAGTTTTGACGAGACAATCCTACTCCATCTGGAGCATCGGTCAAGTCTATACACAAGCCTGGATCACCCGGATCACCTGTGTCTTCAACAGCAAAAGGAGAAACTAAAGTTTTTTATCACTAGGATCCATGAAAGAATCTGGTAGCTCCTCTAGCAGTCTAAGATATACCCATCCTGATGGGGCAATTGATTTGAGTAGTAGCTTAGCATCAATGTCTTTTCCTGCAGGGAGATTTGGTCTTATCAGGGTGCCGCCACTATTCTTGACGATTTCAAAATACAGTCCCTCCATATAACCTGGTAGTAAACGTGATATTTCGTTGTGAAGTGTTTTGGCATCCCACTTTCTATTGATGTCAAAACCCGAAATGATTCTGCCGGATCTTTCCAATTCAGCTTTCTCGGATTTTGTTGGTATTTTCTCTCTTCCAAAATCCAAGATTACAATATCTTTCGAGACTGTTTCAGACGTCAATGGTCTCCCAACTGTGCGTCTTACGTTAGGATACGGTCGGAAAGTTTTGGATCTTTCATACCTTCCTGTTGCAGCATTCCTGCTTGACCTTGCTGAAACTGTTGGGAATCGCGTTCGTAATTCCTCCAAAGCAGTACCAGCTCGTGGAGTACAATACAATACAATACAATACAATGTTCTTTATTTTGAGAGGGTAGATACATGATTAACCCAGTAAAGAGTTTTCTAACACATGGCCCTCTACTTGCAGCTCGTTTGAAGACGTTGATTCCGCTGTTGGCCATTGTTCCACTAGCGAAACAAGCTGTTGGATGTGGCTGATTGCAGTGCTAGCAATGGACTGAATAGAAGCGGGATCGTTGTTGGAATGGTTTGAAGACGCCATGTTTGTTTCAGAAAGCGCATGGCAAGAGCTTCGCCGCAGAGGCTTATGGGACATTTGCCAAAACTACGAAAAAATAATTATGACTAACAAAAAAATAATTTTCGAATGGAAAAAATTAAATTATCATTACATTGTGAGTTGCGTAAGACAAAATCAATTAATTATCCAAAAAAAAAATTATCATAGCACACAAAAAACTAATCCGCAACCGTAAAATAATTTGTGTAATGGACAAAAATAATTTCAAAGAAGCGTAATAATAAAGACGGGACAAAAAAAAATTAATTCCTGGTGAGAAAAAAAAATAATTGTGACGCATGGAAAAGTTAAAAAGAACACGAAAATAATTACAGGCATAGGAAAAAATAATTACAAACAGACAAAAATATAATAGCAGGTACTCATCAAATTAATTCATCAAGAGGGAAAAATTAATCATGCAATTTTGACCAGAACGGGCCTTCATAGGGAAGGGTGTTCGCCGTTAACATTCGGCTGGCTCAAGGATTTTCACTTCCTGCTTTTTGTAGCATTTAACACACAGATTGTTGAATGGAAGAAAAGAAACTGAAGGAGACTAGATAGTGATGTTCGCTGGCTAACCTAACTATCATTGCATTATGCCGTTTTGTGTAGTTTTGGGTCCGTCTTAATTGACCGTTGCAAGAAGGTTTAGTTAGGTTGTTGGCGGTATAGAGCTTTATGCGCTGGTCGTGAATCGAGTTCACGATCGGATCGGATCGATCAGTTCGGATGTTTTAATTACCCTCGATATCGAGCTGGTAACGTGACTCTTTCAAAGTTCTTTTTGCCACCAAATTAGAAATGAAAACAAAAAATTTCCAATACCTCATCTTAGTGTCATACTTAGCCAA